CAACAAAGTGTCGCAAAAATACTTGTCTATATTACTGACGAAACTCAAAAAAAATTGCATGCACTTCGATTGAGCAATTACCTATTCATCGCTGCACTCCACTCATAGAATATTCATGGGTAAAATATGTATGCAATGCATCATTTCCAGTTGTGCAAAAAAGTTTCGAATTTCGCGGCTCCAACAACTTTTGCAAAAACCGTTTCAAATTTCACTCTTTTGATAAAGTGCTTCGAGGTCAGGACCTCGTTAGCAAACAGATCCTGTGTGCGGCGTATTCAGTGGATACACTCATCAATTTTCAATGTATGTGAAAGAAACACGTCATTTGGGTGCTCTTCATGACGAATAGAAGCGTAAACAAGAACGATAGAGTAGTGAGCGTACTATGCTCGAAAAAACCAAGGCGGCGCTTCTTTGTGATTACTCTGGCAGAGCAGCACGTGCTGTTCCCGAGCCGAAGTCGACGATCACATCGCATTTTATGCGTCTTGTGGTCCCAACGCTACACCCCGCTCAGTCGTCAATTTTTATTGTTTGATCCCATCAATAATTTAATGGGGGGTTCGGAGCGTTTCGTGGGTGGGCTATCGATTTCTGCGCACCACTTCGTTGATGAGTCCGTCCAAAGTGATTGTTATCACCTGACCTATTTACTCCTGCTCTGTTATCTTCACAACTGCGCTTTCAAAAACATCATGGCTATAACTCGTCCGCGCCTCTGGTAGAGAACATTTTGTACCATTATGTTCGGCGTGGTCTTAACAAGTGACAGTCCAAGGATAGATTCCTGTTTCCGCGCGCCGCTACTACTATTCACGGCGAATTCGACTTGATTTATGACCCAGCGTAGTATTCCATTCGACGCATCGTCGAAATGATCGCTACTAGCACTACCTCTATTTCTGTCTCAGTTTTGTGAACACTTAGCTCTTGTTTTTCCTTTTTCCTCTCTTGCGTCCTTTTCTTATTGAATATCAAAAATCTCTATATTTTTCGAACTTGAGCCTTCTTGAAAGAAATATACTTACGCGAGTCAGTTAAATCCGCTCAGGATTCCATCTCTGCTCTCACAAAATCGCATTTTCTGATTTGATTGCACAGCTGTCAAGATATCTTAGCCAATAGTTTCGCGTGCACATGCCCTGTGAATCCTGCATATAGCACAACTTCACTTCTATGCTTGTTATATCCCCATTATATCCCCACTCACTATATTCATTCTTTGTGACCTTTTCAAATAATATTCGCCCTTTCCATGTTCTCTCAGCATGTACTTGGAAGTACCTACGGGCCACCTTTTTGCAAGAATTCGTACTAGTTGTTGTTCTCCTGCAATTCGATTGCACTTTTAGATAACCAATTTTTATCTCATTGGCTGGAAAATGAAGCCATTGTTTGCATTTGGGGGTAATCATGCATAGGGTCTGTTTTTTTTTCTTCAGGCAGAAAAACTTTTTTCAGCGAATTTGCAGAATTTTCTTTGCTATCTTCTCTCGTCGCCATACGGTTATCTCATAAAGGCGATATCTCGCTTACAACGGAATAGTTTTTTACTAAGGTGTGCAACTGCACAATTTCCAAGATGGTGACGATGGAATGGATATAACCACGTTGAAATGAAGAAAATTGTGCCAAGCAACGGTGAAACCCGTTGCTTGGCACAATTTTGTTCATTTTTGGCAACCTGGAAAAAACACTAGAAAAACCGCTATCTGGTCGACCGACGTCGTTCAGAAAATGTGCAATTGCACACATTAGCAAGAACCTACTCGAGTCTATGTTTGTGTTTATGTGATTTTACATCAATATTTCAACCCTTCACGGGGCAATTTATAAACAGTTTGAAAATGAATTGAAAAACGCATTTGTAAGTATTGCTCAATGTTTTCATTGAGAATTTACCTTCTCTCTATTGCAGGCCGGCCAACTTCGCTTAAAAGCGCTTAAAAGCGCTCAAAAGCGCCAAAAGCGCCCAAATTTTTCCAACCTCTCTTCACTTTCTCATGGGAGGCGCCCATGTTTCTACATCTCTTCACTTTCTCTATCTGTCCTCACATGAGGAAGTGAGAAGAGGCTAGGAAAATTTGGGCGCATTTGGGCGCTTTTTAGCGAAGTCCGGCCGGGGCCGTAGTGTCTCCAAAGCGATGGGTAAACAGTCAAATAGCTAGAGTTCTGCTTCGTCTTGATCTGATTGCTGAACGCATAGTTAATCCTCCAAGCGAACGAAACAGTGGGACTCCAGCTGAGAAGTCAACATTCCCGTTACCTTGTTTTCTACCAAAAGACAAATTTATGTCGGAGGTGAGGAAGTCAAGCCTCGCCTCGATCGTGATAAATGTCTCTGTTTTCACAACAGCTGCAACACGTGATCAATGAGAAGAGAGTGCGTGTGTGTGTGTGATTGTCTTCACCTTCACCTGTTACACAGTAACTGCGATCGTCTTCGTTTGTACTTCCCCCTAGTGAAGGATGCGATTGCGTGATCACGCCGCCTTGCGTTCGCGCTGTTGCGATCGCACCGGCGATCGCGCAAATCGCGCAACGTTTGCCACGTTAAGATCGTTTTTCTTACAGCGTTTTTGGCGCAAACAGCTATTTTATGCGCTGTTCCCCAAAGAAAAACCTGTTTACATAACCGTCATGCCGCGTGTTGTCCGCTCGCTATGCGATACTTCCTCTTGACTTCTTGCCCTTCTTCCTCCCACAATGTTGTGATGGCTCCCATTGCCAATGGCTGACGAAATTTTAGTGCATTCTTTAACGTTTCTTTGGGCTCATTTTCTTATGTATCGACTCGTGCTCGCCAATGTGATGCTCAAAAGTTCAGCGTGACTGTTCTCCATTTCTTCATCAAAACCATTTATTCGTTTTTTTGCTACAGTCTTTTACATCGTCGATTAATCGCATCGCTCGCTGTCGAAAGTAACTGATCCATCTGGTTACGTTCAAACAGAATCCTCTTTCCAAGCTTATCGCTTAAGTATATCTCATATACATGCAGTTTTCTCATCTCGTTATGAAGAACGTCGAAAAAAATTGTCGCTGTCCTAAATTCTTTCGTCAGTAACGGTGATTATAGTAACCATCGAAAAAGCGTTGCCATCGACAGTGCAGCAAGATTTATTTGAACTTCTATCAAGGTTTCTGCTTACTGAGTTTTATCAAAATTCTAAACTATTCAATTTCGATATGATCTGTATGGTTCGTTAAAGGATTGTGCTGGTGTTTCAAACTATGCGCCTGTACAAATCTCTTCTTTGATATCTGAAAAAGGCTCACTTTTTGCTATATATGCTCTGCTTTCCATGCGATTAGATTTTCGCAATTATTATCTGTTTTCTTACCAACTCAAGCTGCTCCCAAAGGGACATTGGTCTGCGTCTGCTCTTATCGCTTGTTGATTGCGGCTTATTATCGCCTCTATTTTTGTCTAAAATTTGAGGACTTATTATTGTAAACAAAGAAATGAGCGACCACTTCGAAATTCCGAATCAGTTGTAGATCTCTTTTACAGAAAACTATTCGAAAAATAGTGTGGATGTGGTTACCTCGGATGTTTTGACAAGCAGTCTATGGTGCTCTGGAATAGGCGAACATCACTACGCAGTAGACAACAGTTGCATGATAATGCTGTTTGCTAAGGAATCTCGTCTCCTCTAGTGAAGTTCCTGACCTTTTTATATTATAAAGTAGCACTGTTCGTAAGCGTAAATGACTTCTGGGTTCTGTTCGTGATTGTTTTCACAAATAGACTGGACATATGTCAATGGCACTCTATTCTGCCTGATCGCTCACTGAAGTTTCGCGTAAGTAGTGACTTTATCATCGTTCGGCACTCACATGTCCCCAGGCCATCCTCACAGAAGATGACGTTAGTCTACTGCTAGCTTCCGGTAGTCAAACTACTGGCTCTGCTGTTCTTCTGCTCTGAAACCCAAGCTCCGTAATGGTGGCTTGGTTACACAGACATCCCCACCCGAAGGAAGCACTTGGCTGACTGCCAAAACAAACACGAACACTAGTCAATGTGCCTTGTTGCCGTCGATCTCTGTAATTCAATCGGCCGCCTCAATAATTAGTTTGTTCGTTTGTTCTCGCGTCTGAAGATCCACGCTATCCCAGAACATTGACGCCTAAAGTGCAATTGTCTAGAACACACCAGAGGCTTCAAAAGAGCAGGCGAAATCGATTTATAGAAGAGGGCGAGGAAGTGAAAGTTTTTTCTTGAAGAATTTCGGATTACGTCTGCCATTCAGGTGGACAAAGGGTAATGCGTCATACTGCAGCCTCGTCGCCAATAATCCCACACTTTGGGCGAACTGACCCAGTTCAGTTATATGCCCTTTAGTTTTAAGTCCATTTTTTACCGTAATATACGCGATAAAATCTCGTGAGGTGATGGTCATCATGGGGGGGGGGAGGGTTATGCGGAAAAGAAGGAAATCAGCTGTATTTAAATTGCAGTGGGGCAGTACTTGCGAGCAATTTTCGGGAACAGAGCGGAGGCGACGGAAACTTTTTCGAATGAAGAGGCTTGGCGTTAGCCATGCCTTCCGGAAAAAATTTCGGGGTTTGTTCTGTATATTCTACAAACCTTATTTGAAATCTGAAAAGTTTTACCAATCATTTTAATTATTTTCAATAAAAACTGAATGGATTAATTTCAGTCTTAACTCGAGTGAGCCATTTCAGAATTTTTGCGTCCATTCTCTCTGTGCCCCCCTCCTTCCAACAGCTACTGCTTAATCCCATGAGATGATCCGCATATATGAATCATAATTTGCTGCTAAGCTTATTACTCCCCTTTCTCAATAAATGTTACTATCAATACAAACCAGCAATGATTAAAAACCTTCAAAATTCCAAAATCCATTAACTGCTAATGTGGCATCTGAAGCTCTTTAGCATAGCGATTTACTGTTTTTGCTGACATAATTGCAAGGCTTACGGCGACCAATGAGTGGTTTTTGATGATAATTTGCGGAAGCTGTCTAGATATGGATTATTGTACAAACTCTTCATGTACCAGTGTTCTAACGTTTCTCTGCTACAAAATGGTGAGTTTTCCAAACTTTCGAATTATATATGAAACGTTCTAAGTAATTCATTCACTGCATCTCTTTCTTAATTATTCTGCTGCCCCGTTAAAGCAAAATTTGCGCAACCTTGGGTGATAAAAAGCATTTATGCCAGCGATTTTGGCTAAAAGAGGAAATCGCTGGTATCCCTCAATGAATGGAAGAAGTTTTCTTCAATTCTTTCTAATACTTACAGCTTTACTATTTTATATAACATTTGTTTATTGTCATCAATTGTTTTAATCATGTTAGATCACATTATGGCGCTAATGTAGATGAGAAAAAATTGACATCCATGTCAGTAACAGTTTCCTCGATGAAGAGGGATTTTTTTAGCACTTTTTCCCAGCACCACAGTTTGGCCAGAATCTGAGCCATTTTGCTCGATTTCAAGACTAAATGTTTTTTCTGCTACGTATGTCATTTTCAAATCGTTCTTGTTTACATCCTTAGAACTTTTCATTTCCCCTCTACGCTGAAAAACAAATAATTTTGGGGTACACATTTTACTTTTTTGTTTTTCTACACGATCATCAATATATTTTTTGACCTTAAATTACTACGCTGAACATTCTCCTACTGATTTCTTAGAAATCAGTAGGAGAATGTCCTCAGTGGTTATTTCAGTTGCTTCTCGCCCTTTTTCAATCTAATTTTCCTACTCATTGTTCACATATGGGTAGAGGACCCCGGACATTGCAATGGTGAAAAGCGAACACTCGAGGACTTTATACTGTAAAAGTATTGTTGAGGAAGATTTCTCTTATCAAATCAATGATATATCCAAGTAACGAATCCACTGCTGCACAAACATTAAAGTGGAACAAGTAAATTTTTTTAATTTGGTATAACATATGGTCAGGCGTGCACAGAACGCTGTTGCACGATTGCATTCGCGTCATTCACACACATTAAATAAAAACGGGTTTTATGAATGTCCAATGCAGGCCCCGTGCGAGCAACCTCGTTCATTAGTATAGTCTGGTGAAATTGACATGTATAACGTACGTTTGCCAACAACACCTGCGCGTAGAAAAACGAGCTGGAGCAAAAGTTAGAAATGTGCGCTCAGTGGGCATTTTTTACGCGCAAGTGTTGTGACTACCGCAAAGGCAGTAAACGGTTCTAGAATGTCCTTGCTGGTTGAATGAGGATTCTAGTTTGAAGAAAAAAAGTGCTATCATGTTTTGGAAAAACTTTTGACACAATCTTTGAAAACGAAAGGCTTAAGTAAAGTTTTAAAAGGAAATCTGGAGAGCCAGTTGTGTGAACTGAAGAATTTGCATCAGTTTTATAACTTTTATCAAGTATATCCGGTCTGTTACAGAAATCTACTACTGGTGTCTCTTATAATCTCAGAACGAGAATCTTATAAGTATTCCAAAATCACCACTCTTTCAGCACCCTACAACTCACATCGTTCATCACCGTCTTCTTTCTACATAATATTACACAACAATTGGCACTTTAATTGATCACACGTTGATTTGTCCAGTTCACTAAATAGGCATGAGAATTCATGCGTCGTTGCGTCGTCTTTCTTCACTGATGCTTTTTTTTGTTAAAAAGCAGTTAGTAGCACAATTTGAAGTTTTCCAGGGGATAGTCATGTCGCACTCGGAGTCGGTATCTCCCCTGCGTTCTTCCCCATCGGCTCCCAGTCCCCATACGCAATCCCTGCGAAGATCAACGGGGAAAAATCAAAATCTACATGCTCACACTTATAGTGTCAGGGAGAGATCTGTGTCGGAGGTAAGGTTTATTCTATATGTAGCTTTTAGAACGTAAATATCGCTCTTACATCATCTATATACAAAGAGTCGTTGTGCCTATTCAAAAAGGTGAAGTTGCGGGGAACCGCGCGGTTTCCGCAGCGAACGCACCTGCAAATCTAGTCTAGTACCTTTACGATTACTGCTTAGTCTTTTCAAATTTTTGAAGCTACTCTGTCATTAACTAGGCAAGCACCATTACGACATATAGGCTGAATCAGTTTTCAACTGCATATCATTTGCATTTTTATTTTCATTTTTTCATTTTTAAATCTTCTTTTCGACCAACTGTATCAGTGTCTTTATTTTTGGCTGCTTCTTACCTATTTTGAGATAAATCTTTTCTATGAAAGATTTATAATTTGGCTCCCTTTCACTTATATTAAAAACGAATACAAACCTACTACAAAAACAAGCAGTATAAATAGTAACTGAATCCCATACGCAGATTATGCGTAACTTGCTGCGTCGCGGCTAAGCGTTCAACATCTGCAACTCTTCTGTTCACCTCAGTCTCTTTAGAGTGAGCATCGGCTTGGTCGCACGCGCAAGTACGCAACATAAGCTTTGCCTGCGCTGGCACTATGACTATACGTACTAGAAATGAGGTTTTTCTTCTATAGTATCGCTACTCTTATATTCATTCATTGTTTTTTGGTAAAAAAAATCAATTATAGTCTATCATCCTGTCTGCAAAACTATGATTTTGTGATTTTAATTCAATTTTTTTTTCATGGTTGACATATCCCATAACTTTGCAGGTCTTGCACTATGAAACAGACTCGTATGCACGATTACTTCAAATGAATCAATGCTACGAAGCAATGCCTACATCAAGCAAAATGGTTGTATTTGATACAGAAATGGTGCTGTGGAAAGCCTTTAATGGGCTGGTTTATCAGAGTAAGGCACTAGTTATTTATTCATCTTTTGAGTTATGAAAATAAGATTTGTAAATGAAAGAGCAATAAAATGAGAAAAAAGCTATTGCAGAATTTTATAATGAGCAGACTTTCTACTTTCTTTCTCCCAAATATTCATACATTAGAATAGTATGCATTATTGATCTGCAAAGAGCAGTCCACACCAGATATTATAATCGCTTTACTATCTTAATTTTCCTTAAAAAATTCTTTTTTCAGACACACGGCACGTATTGTTATCCAATGGACAACGTGGTGGATTAATTACGGGTATTCTCTCAGTGACAGATTTTATACGGGTTATGCTAAGGCTACACAGGTAATTTTGTTGAAGTTTTGTTTACATTAGTTCTTAATTTTCTTATTTTTGAGGGAGCGAGCACGGTCCGATGCCTTGGCTGAGGAAAAGGGTGATATAGGAAAATTGACAATTCAAAAATATAGAGGTTAGTGCCATGTGAGAATAAAACTTTTGTCTAGAAATATGTTTTGTTATTTTAGAATTAGTTCAAAAGGAAGGAAAACTAAAAGATCTGGTTTCGATCAATGCAAATAACAGGTGAGTCCATGTTACTCATTATCCAAAAGTGATTAATTTACTTCAGTTTACTGGAAGCAGCTCGATTACTTGCCGAACATCGTATACATCGGTTACCTGTTCTTGATCCCGAGTCTGGTAGCCCACTTTTCATCCTTACTCATAAACGACTACTCAAATTTCTCTGGTGCTTTGTGAGTTTCACGAGGTTTAACATTTTAGTACATAATAATATTAAGTAGTATTTTGCAGGGTCAACAGTACTCTCAACCCGATTTCCATATTCGTACAGCAAAAGATCTGAATGTAGGCACATGGGTTGGCATACGTGTGGTACGTGCTTATCTCGTACTCTTTATATTCAGACAATTATCTTACCATTATTTATTACGTTTTGCAATTAGTCCCTCGCAATTTCGTTCCGGCTGCAATTTTTTATGGGTGAGTTTTTACAGTGCGCACTGATTCCCATGCTTGCAGTCTGCTGATTTGGGAATTACATAAAAACATTTGATAGATTTATTTTCGACATGTTTTTTCCTTTCTGTTCTTTTTCTTAATGATCCTACTTCGAAAAACTTGGTCAAAAACAGCTAGTCACCTCTGAAAGCACTGACATTGTTTACAACCCGCTTCTATCGTTTCAACGATGGTGTAGTGCTTTTTTTTCTAAATGGGGGTCTGAGGTTTTTTGCTTCCCACAAAAAAAACCATAAGCACAATAATCTTGCAGACGAAGTCTATCTTCTTGTAAGTTTTCGGAAGGCGAGACCCGTCTTTGAATTTGCAAATTAAATTCATCACTCTTGAACTATATAAGGGGCCAAAGCATTCTTCGCACTCGCGTTGCAGATTGAAGGTGATCTCGCAGTATTGCGTCCGCAGTAAAATATGTTTTTGATATGATTTTGTTTCTACTTCCGCCAGCACGAATATTACGATAAAATCAGTCGGTAAGTGGAAGTCAAGCAGAAAATGTCAAGAGGAGAATAGTTTCGCAATGCCTGTAAAGGTTTTGTGAAAGGCGAAGGAAAACTCTGAAAAATGTCTCCCGAAAATTGAGAACGAACTAACACAGCCTAATTCAAATAAATTTGACAGCTTTTACCTAGTGTATCATGGGCCATGTATAAAGTAGTATAGTGGTACCCTTTGCTTCAACCAGATCGGCGGCTGAAAGGCGGGGCTCCGTGACCTAATTAAGGCTAGAAAATGCCCAGAGAGCATGCACGCAAGAGAGGCGCAGGCTGCGTCGCGGACGCGCGCAGTGCCTCATAGGTCATGAAGCCCCGCCTTCCAGCGGCCGATTTGGTTTATGCGAAGGATACATAGCATAGTGCACTTACGGTAGCGGAACACTTGCTCTAAAAATGGCTATAAAACGCATACAAATTGTGCGCTACCGCTAATTCTCATGCAGAGGTGTGGTTTTTATCGCTATTAATATCATCGTTCAAAAATAGAGATCTATAAAGCGTTTCTAGGTTTTTCCTGATACTCCATTAACCGACTGCCTTGATATCCTCTTGAACAAAGGTGTGTCAGGTGTTCCTGTTGTTGAGCGAGACACATTCAAGTAAGTTATTCTCACATTTTCAAATTTTCAGAGTTTGATAAGTAGCACCTCATTTTGTCGCAATGAGTCTAACAACTTTTCAGAGTCGTCGACATGTATTCTCGGTTTGACGCCGTTGGCATCGCTCTGGAAGAGAAAGCGAACAGCTTGGAAGTCACCGTCCAAGAAGCACTAAAATTCAAAAATCTTGGAAGAGTGTGTTTATTTTTCTGACCATGGAAAAGGGTGATCAAGTGAAGTCAACTCAAATAATAACATTTCAGAACGAAAACGACCGAGTAGTTTCTGTGCGGGATACGGACACGCTATGGAAAGCCATAACAGTTTTAGTAGAGCGAAATGTCCATCGTCTCTGCGCCGTCAATGAAAATGGCGCTATTGAGGTAGGTTTATGATAATAAAAAACTCGTCTTTTTTATTATCATAAAGATCTTTTTTTTACGAAAACAGAAATTCCACTTTAATTTCGGCATCTAGATTTCATATGATTTTTCACACTCTAAAACCTATCAAATTTATTGTGCTCATCTAAAGACATTTCTTGAGGCTTTTGCTTCTTATTTTCTTTCAAAAACCGTCGATTGTCACAGCAATGAGAATACCACAAGATTTCCTTTCGTTCAAATCCTATCTGTGGTCTAAAGCATTAAATATCGCTAGTAATAAACTTGCTCTTCTCTCACTGAGCTATTCGTGTTCCTAAGTCTCAATCAATGTGGATATAATTCCGCTTCACATAAAGGCAGAATAATATTGCAAAAATGCTACTATCACCTTCGACCATTTCTACATCGAGCTTCAAGAAATTTTATATCATTTCTATGTGGAAAACCTGCCAAAGATCAACTCTGAGCATGATAAATCTGTGTAATTGTATTCTCTACTTTTTCCCGCCAAAGTTGGAAGCGTGGCATCTGTGTTTAGGGAATAATCTCATTGTCTGATGTGATAAACCATATGGTGGTCAAGCCGGGTGCAAATCTGAAGCCCATAAAAGTACCTCGACGACATTATTCGCATCACCCATTTGAATTCAATGATAAGGTGAGAGAAAACAAGCTACAAATTTTTTTTACCCTAGACGAATGTTGTTTGAAATTCTTCTATACGTCAATTACAGGAACTGCGGCATCGTCTTCATGACAGTGCTACATTGTTAGAAGATACAGCTACTGGAAAACTTCGAAAAGGACTTAGTGACATGAGTATACGTTGATTATAAGACAGACCTCATAGGAAATGATTTTATTGCTTTCTAAAAAGATTGATCTGCAATCCCAACGAGTGATTCGATACAGCTAGAATCTGACCTCCTCGTTTACTCGATTAGGCTTCTCAAACTGCTCATATGTCGCCCTATCTGAACTTTCAATTTGATCCCTTTTTGGATGTGCGATTTTTTTGTTCTTAAGCCATCCTATGTGCCAAGATATAGATCTTTACAACTCTGCAAATATGATGATGTACAGCCTTATTACTCTTTCACACATAGGAACAACTAATAGAGTACAACTGAAGTTACAATGATGATTTGTTTATGTCTGTTATTTAAACTGCTGAAAATTCAACGAAAATGACCAAACCTCTTTTATGTGGTGTATATTGTTGAATATCATCTCATCTTGCTTACAAATGAAGATTTGTGATGTATTAGTTTACTTTTGATCCCTGCTTTTTATTACTGTAAGCGTGGACTGAGGTTTTAACTGCAAAAGGCAGATTGAATCTCTTGGACCAGTTTTGATTCAAATACTGCAGTCCTCCGACGTCCGCTCACTGATTTCCGATAGAATTATTGGACTGCATGCCAAATGGGGTTAGAGGACGTTATGATGTTAAATGGCTCTGCCTGCATGGACAACTGGTACACTCTTCATGGTGTTGACATGCATTGTTTGTGGAAAACGTTACAGCGGTGGTTACTCCATTGAGCCTGTGGGACCAGTGCTGATTCCATCTGATGAAATTCAACCCGACTCTTCTAGGTTTGGAAACTGTAAATGTTTGCCTCTGCCTTTTCAGCACTTCTGTACTACCAGTACCCAATTTACGGATGATGCCATTATCCCGACAGAGAAATGAATATCGCCATCACTCTCTTGGCAAACCTCTTTTGTAATGTATGTTATAGAAAGTGGTAAAAAGGCAGTTGACCGAGCCTCCATTCCCACAGTTTGTACTCTGTCCTATAATAACCCTTGTAAAGAAAATTTTTCTCAGGCATTGCCTTAGCTACCGTAATACTGTAAGAAGGCGCTACAGTAAGACACGACTGCTGACCAGCAAGTCCATCATGTATAGGTCCCGATAGTCACGACAAACACTTGTTTTTTACGTCGTACATATGCCTATTTCTGTTTTCTGAAAGTGCTGAGTTTGGTTTGTTATCAACGAGCAACGTGTGAACTGACTTGCAGATCAAGGGTCATCTAATCTCCTGTTTTAATCCTCAAAAGGTTTGTAGCGAATTGTTCATGACTGACCTTCTGCCAGAGTTCTGCTGTCTCATATTTTGATAGCAAAGTACTGAATAAATCTTCGAAGTCGTCTGGAAAAGAATGTTTGCTAGCTATCTTACTGCCAAATCCAACTCTTCGAACCAGGAATGTATTAAGAAATTGTTCGTAACAATCCCCCCCCCCCTCCCCTCCCTCCCCTATCTTAGAAGGGAGTCGCAGATTTTTGAAAGTGATCTATGTGAGTTACAAAATTGCGCAAGTGACTTACTATTTTGAGATGTTCTGAGGAGTCGAGTCGGCTTTGAGAGAAAATTCTTACTTCAGGAATTAATGTAATTATTCTCACAAGATTCCACGGTTGTAAACCAACTGGAATTTCAGGAAACATCCCAAAAGATCTCTCGGAGGGTTTGAGGAACGGATCACTAGGGAAGCTTGACATTTTTCCAGTTATTTTTCTTTTCCTCTAAGCGGAAAAATAGCACAGTATACGCAAATATTAGGGGATCTTGACTTTCTATTTTCGGAATTCGAACTACCATCTTATCTCGAGTAAAATATATAACATATATAATAAGTCTACATATGGTGTTCTGGTGGTGGTTTATGGTGTTCTGCCACACCTGATAATTGACAATTTATAGCCTGAATTAGTCTCTTATTTTGTGTTAGAGGCAGTCTAGCAATAATCATCCACTTTGGTGTCGACTTCACTTAGTTCTTCAAACTTAACTGAGCTAAATCGATCGTTTGTTACTGAAAAATATACTCGCTCCCTCTTTTCAAAGACACATCGTTGTTGAAATCATGTCTATTCACTGCGAGGCACTGCATTGCGCAACACATGGATTTGAGTTTTGTTGACGGTCCCTAGTACTTGCGTACTGGCGACAGCTGAACTTGCTACACTTATGAAAACAGCCTCAGAAGCTAAAAGGAGGTAGGAGCTCAAGAATCTCCTCTGTCGCTTGAAGGGGGTGTAGTGTTTCGTGGTACTCTCTCTTCCTGTGCTACTGTTGTTTGCCAAGCGTGGCAATTCCACATGATCTGTTTTTCTTTTTTTTTGCTGGGGTATACGATTCTTTGTTAGGTAAGGGCTCCATTTCTACAGTGTGTATCTAACTGCTGTGTGAAATTTTTGTGTCACATAACATCCAAACATCCCAGCAGTTATTCGCAGCTACTGTTCGTTGTATCTATAGTTACATAATAGGCCATTTCATATCTCAGCGTGTGCATATGCACACAATATCCGTTTTGTGCTGCCATCTATAAGGACGAACTTCTTCCTGCTGATTTTTGAGCGTCTCTCTCATACATTTTGTTTCATGTATCAAGGGAAGCCTTTAGCGAAGAAAAGGCGAATACGTCCAGATTGGTTACGCGCAACATGGACGGTGTATGCATTGACACACATCCAGATAATGAAATGACTGAACTATAGCTACCTTAGGAGCATTTCATAATTGCTTTCTCGAAAACTGCACATGTAGAGGCAAAACGAAAATTTACTAGATAAGGAAAAGAAAGGAAGATTTCTTCGTTCCCTTTTACTGAACTGCGTTTAGTAAGGAATATATTTCTTGACCTTTTAGATAATTAAAGTTCCTTGCTGCATAATATGTGTACTCATGCTCATTGGTCGTCAATTATCACTACACTAGCTTTCATCATATGCTAAAGGTCTTAGGAAAAAATCGGTAAACAACTGGGTATTTCGACATTACACCGGAGAGGGGCAAGGTTCTACGAAACTCGCGAATCCTTTCGAGTGTCTGTTGCTCATAGCATTATTCATATTATATGTATCTTCCATCACAGGCTTTGGATTGGAGAGAATATAGTGATTTCTTTCTAAAACCAAAACACTAATCAGTTAGCATCAAATCTGTCGTCAATCTGTCGCGTTTTGTGTAAGGTACACATTTGTGTGAGGGATTAGGAGGGAATCTCGAATGTTTTCGCAACTGCTTTTTGGCTTCGTCATCATTGAGCGGTTTGCCTTTGCGTCTATGACCAGTTTACTTAATCCGAATATTTATTGCTAGATTCAGCTTTATACATAAGAATATTCTGCCTAAGTGTCGAAGATCATATTAACCGCTGCATCGCTGATCATCAGACTAACTGTTCAAAACTAGTTGCTCAAAATGATAGCTCCAAGTTCTGCGTGGCTTGAGTTCTCCAATCTAAACCCAGTGGTGAGTGCTTATTTTTACTTCTCTTTTCTTCTTATTTTTGGCTTTTTCAATAGCTCGTATGTAGGAAAAAGGAATGCCGGAGCGAGATTTGTTGGCTCGTCTTCTGATGTCGAATTCGTGCTATGAAGCCATGCCCTCATCTGGACGAGTAATCATATTTGATGTAGACCTGACAATGTGGCGCGCCTTCGTGGCCCTTATCACAAGCGGTATGTGATAAAACTATGAACAAGCGCTTAGCTTGATGCTATAGTTGTGTTTACTTTGGATTTGACGTCATACAAGGTATTTATGTGATGCACATGCTTAAAGGCAGCTTTTGGGCAGATTATCAACATCTGTCGGTTTCCTTTTTTGGGACTTTCTAGGAGTGCTGAGTCCGAACTGTGATTGGAACTTCCAGAAGTGCCAAAAGTTGGAAAATGATTAGGAGTGTCGCAGTCAATCACTCAGAAGTTCAGGTGGAGCGGTGTGTACCTATTTGAATGGCGAACAAATGATTGGGTGCAATATTTCTAACCATTCGGCATTTCTCACTTTCAAGAGTGAACAAATATTGATAAATTCGGGTTTACATACCGTCCGAAAGCAGCATTTTTTCAACTTCAAAACTTTGGGGAAGTTTCACTATAAGTTACCCTTTCCAGAATCTCGCCATGTACTTTTGAGTGATAGAAGTCAAGGCGGTGAGATCATTGGTATTTTGTCAGTGACCGATTTCATACGAGTAATTCTGAAAATATTTCGGTGAGATAACCATTCATTCTTTTCATTCTATGTCTTTATATTTCATTTTATTTTTAGTGCTTACTTTTGCTCCATGTATATGTTTAGGGATCAAAGCTTCTCCCACTATCACAGATTTGATGCCTTCAGTTTGATAACCATTAGAGAATTCCGAGGTAAGTTGTATCTTGTAATTTCTTTTTCATATTCGCTGCTTTAGAGATCGCTTTCAAAGCTGGGAAGTTGAGAAGCTTGGTGTCCATTAGTGCCACAGACAAGTAGGGAACAGTTAAACCACGTCGTTAGAGAGAATTATCTCATGAATTTAGTCTTTTGGATGCTGTGCGCACTCTATCGTCTCACCATGTCCACCGTATTCCTGTATTCGATCCAGACACTGGAAATCCAATACATCTACTCACTCATAGGCGCATCCTGAAGTTCATGTGGACTTTTGTGAGTTTTGGGTTCTTTTCTTCGAAAGATTCAGCAGGAGAAAGCCGAAACTCTTTTTAGGGTCAAACACTCTTCCCTCCTGACTATCAAGTTCGTACACCTAAGGAGCTCAATATTGGTACCTGGTCAAACATCCGCTATGTATGTCTTTCTATCATCCATTGCTTGTTTCGATGAATGTATTTCCTCTGTTTCAGGTCTATCCTGAGACAAGACTCATTGAGTGTTTGGACCTTCTTCTTGACCACAATATCTCGGGTATACCTGTCGTAGAACGCAGTACACAAAAGTGAATATTGATATGCTCATCTTTCTCGTGTTCGTATCATCTTTTGCAGAGTTGTAGATGTTTACTCACGATTTGATGCTATAGGAATTGCCTTACATGATGAAGAATTCACTGGGGACACTACCGTCAAGGAGGCTCTTGATTTCAAACACATATGCGAGGTTGGTGTGCTAGCAGTAATATTTCGTAGGTTTGTAGTCTTGAGAAAGTTTTGTTGCTTGTCATATGCCTAGTTTGTCTCAAGCTTTGGCCTTGTTCACATTTTACGAAACCATGCTGTAAACAGAAAACCTGCCACGATACATATCGTCACATAAATTCTGTGTACGGGTCAAACACATTTTTGATATAGGCATTGACCCGTTACGGTTTTATAAGCACCATCCTAGAGGTAACTGAAGCATTCTCTTCCGCATTATGGTAGCTTGCTTGAATTTTGCTACATAATTATCTCCCAAAAACCCGTTTAGGGCGGACGTGAGCGTGTCGTTTCAGTCAGAGAAACGGATCCATTTTTGTTCGTTCTTTCAACTCTGGTCGATCACAACGTACATCGAGTGTGTGTACTTGACGAGAACAAGGCTTTGTTGGTATGATTTAACTCAGATAGCTTCTGTTTTGAAGCAAGCTTGGAAATATTTGAGGGAGTAATTTCGCTTTCGGATGTGATGGACGCCGTAGTTGTGCAACCTGCGAAGTCTTTGCGCGCTCCTACTGCTTTGAGACATGTTTCGCAAGAGTCGTTCGACCTTTCCAATATGGTGAGCTTTTTTCTTTCGCGCTACTGCAGAGTTTGATTTTACAGTTCAGGAACTATATATGCGCTCACTTTATGAGAGTGGAGAAGAGCTGGACGAGCTTTCCAGGACCTACGCAACTGACCAACAGCTTATGACTAGTTGATATTATCATCATTGAATTCAACTAGATTAGGTTAGCGCAATCAATGTAAATTTGCTTTACTCTTGATCTTTTATAAGGTTTTTCAGTGTGCGATTGTTCTATGCTTTTCGCAGCTTTCTTCGATCTTTTGCATCTCACGCATCCCCTCTTGTATCAAATCCAATATATTTTGTTATACTCATACCTCTGTGGATTTCTAATGTGGACAAGGCTAATTTTGACTGTGACGTAAGCAGCTATACGGTTACGGGATCGCTGGTGCATAAGCATTCACATTCGTAATATACTGGCATCATTCTGATACTTTTCGAGAACTCTCTGGTCTGCTGTGTAAGACCATAAAAATTGTTTGAGAGTGGGAATGGGTTCCTAGCTGTACATATGTACTCTGATTCCTTTGTAAAAACGGATAGAATTTTGATGGTGACTACTAAGATTTTTAGTCCTCTGACTTAGTAGTAAGTTTCAGGGTCTGACGCCGATATGCTGTGTATTGTTTCAAGAAATTAAGTCATCATAGTCATAGTTTTTAGATCTTGTAATTTTTAGTAATAAATGGTAATTATAGCTTTGCTATAACCTAATAATTGTTGGGCATAGCGTTCTTAAAAGATAGACTCGAATCTATTGACAGCTTTACACATATGCCATATAAATTTTGTATTATCTCTGTTTGAGCTTTTCTTCTTCAGTCTGTATTTTATTTCCTTTTTTTTGCACATCAAAACCTTGTGAATTTCGCTTTCGATATGTATTCTGATGTGCTAACTTGTCTGTCATTCTTTGTTATGTCGTGAATCATTCAATGAAGTTGTTGCTTGGGATCATCAATTGTACAAAATTTGATATCATCAGACTCAGGTCAAGCGAACGGTGCTAGTGTAAAGGCTACGATTTTTAGATCACGAAGCACTCGAAGAATTATTAGAATAGACTTATTATCGTTCAAATGAAACAATGTTTTAGACACAAAGTGTACACGTCATGATGGTCAATAAGTCTTGCGAAAATGCTAAAGATTCACCTAAAAACATCTCCAAGCATATCATATTATAGTTTTGGAACCTACGAAAGTTGCTCCATTTAGTTATGCATATTGAGATTTCTTCGTAACAAAATCGATCGAGTCCGGAATCCGAATACCGCAACTATCAGTAGAAACATCAAGTCACCACGAATATCTCGCCATTGAAAAGAGTAAACCGTAAAACCATAATCAGCAACCAAAGTAGATAGAATTTCTGGACCTTGTAGCATTTTTAGAAATTGAGAATCAAAAATTCACGCTTTGAGAGTTTCTCTTGGTCAGCTTGTATCGTCTTGATATGCCAGTATGGATGTTCGTTTCAAGCACTATCAAGCGCAAGGTTTGTTTCTAAGTTATGGTAGATTGATCAAATTGTTCTAGAGCAAAAATACATGCGACCTTTTAAAATTTGGGTGCAACATTTATGGACCAAGCAAATATCCCGCACTCCGTTGGCCGATTTTTCAGAAAGTTCAGCTCAACCTGTATTCATTCAAACTTCTTTACCACCTATCTGATGTAACAAGCTCTAGCTCTTTTTTTATCACGGATTGCTCACTGTTCGCGAGCCATGATCGTATCAGCGAGTAAAGATCAACGCGGCTGAGCGCTGATAAGAATTCATATAAGATCTTGCAAATTTTGATCACACGGGTTCACGATGAAGCTCGCCATTCTTTTTGGTAGGGTTTGTTGAAATTGCTCATCTGTCGTTTGCCTTGAAAAAATTATATTATTTTAGCAGTTTTATGTGGCCTTGTACTTTCTATGCCCAAAGCATCGAAACGTGGCATTGATGAGTGCGGTGCCAAAGACATTAAACGATACATATTCCTTGCCACTGGAAATGGTAAGTTACTCAGCTTCTCTTGACTTCCTCACATAAACTATAATATGGAGTGTTTTTCTCGAGTATGACGTTTACCCTTGTAGTTCACGGGAAATTTGAGGCTCTCGCTGCAAAAATTGTTCATAAGACCAAGTCAAAGGTGTACCACCTTTTTCTCATATATTTTGTTCTTGACTCGCTTCTTTCTATCATATCATCAGAAAAACATGTACGCTTATCATCAGATAAATAAGGTAGTAGTAATACGTGGTTTTACAATCTTATCTTCGTGTAGAAAGTTAATATTGCTTTTTTCCAGACAAGATGGATATTGTCTGCGAAATGTGCTTGGATTTAGTCCTTATTGCCGAAACCTACGCCGAATGTGAAGAAGTACGTATTTGTGCTTTATATACAAGTACACTCAATATATTGAGTTAATTTATATAGGAACAAGTGGCCGAAATTTTGGAGAAGAAGTGCGACAAAGACTTTAGCTCGGCAGCTACTGATAAACTCTGCCGTAGTATGGTTAAGCAAATCGCTCATGTGAGTTCTAGGGTTAAAGAATTTTTTTTTTTGAGCAGAAAGGTGCTTACTGGTTTTTTCAATTTATGAACTCATTGTAGCGATAGTAGAAGAAAAATCTGCTTTGCCGGTTAGATAAGATAATAGCTGCACATGCGCAATTATGGAGATAGCTCACAATCGGAATCAAAGTTCTCTGATTGATTAACCCATTGACGACGACGCCTTAGTTTTGCATGGCGGCGCTGTGGGACGACGCGATTTCTGATTATTTACCAAATGTAAAGTTGTTTTGTAAACAACTACAGTCATCTTCTTGGACGACAAAGTCTACAGGTTCCAAGACTGCAAAAAAATGGAAAAATTCTGAACTGTGGAAAAAGACTAGACCTGGAAAGGATATGATTTCGCAAGGGGTGTGGGCCACTGGTGGTCCACATCGTCTCTGGTTGAAAAGCGCGTGGGCCACCGTTGGTCTACACCTTCCCTGGTGGCAAAAAGTGCGTGAGCCACCGATGGTCTACATCGTCGTCAATGGGTTAAGAAATCACAAAATTGATGTTTTGAGATGTGATTAAAACAGTTAAGAATATCTTCAATTTTTTCCAGCTTATACCTTCGAAATTTGCCAAGCGTCTCGCATATGTGTTCATAACCCTTTTATAATTGACTTCCATTTTTTCAGGAAGTTATCACGGATACAGAGCAAGATCCGACCAAAACCTGTTATAAGGTCATCCACAAACAATGCACCTACAGTGCAATTTGAACAACATTTAAGAAAATAAATAATACAGCATCAGTTTGTTCATATTTACATACACAATGACACGTAAAGCAACACGTAAGTAATGGAAGGAAGTAATCGTACGAGATCAACGGAAAAGGACAGAAAAACGCTACTATTGCGTAGTGCTTCAAATACTTGAGGCTAGTATATTCCTAATCCATTAGTAGCCTAGTGATTTTGTACTATCATAATTCCACCGGCGGTAAATCATATAGCCGTTCATCCGTGGCATCAAGGAACGGTCTCAGGACTGGTTTGTCCGCTTTTTCTGGGGGTGGTGGCTTTGCAAGCGCCTTAAAAATACCTGTAATATTCTCAAAATTGCAGTCTACATAGCAATTTACCGGGGTTCTGTTTTCTTGTGGAAATTTGGTTTTACGCTCCAGGTTTTGCACTCGAAGTGTATCTTCCAGAGAGGAGATGAAATCTTGCGATGGTTTCTTTGCCTAAATGGTGGGAAAATGGTTTCACCAATTAGAATGAAAAATATATATCTACCAAGGGAGGTGGTTTTTTGAGCGCTTGTTCGCTTACTACTTTGCCAGCTACTATTATCGGGATTGGATCACTAATCTGGAGCTTCGGAGCGATCGGTGGCAAGCGAATTTCTAAAAAAAATTGTGTTTTCATTTCACCTGTTGAAATTATAGAAGAATGAGATAGACTGATGGACAGTTGTTATAGGCTGAAGTCAGAGTCCACCAGCTAACCGATTTCCCATTTTATAGTCGAGTCATTTGTAAACTAATATGCGTATTGCACACCACACGCGCAACTTCACGACTTGTGCTACTAATCTGTTATTTTTCAAACATTTCTCCTTGCTTTCTTCTCTTTTATAGCTTGATAGGTTGAGTATCAAGTAGTGGTACAAACATCAAGAACATGTTACAATAAATCGAGATTTACTAACGATTTTCTGGTAAGGAGTCGTGGGTCACCGCGCGCTGTGTGCATATTTCATAATGAGTTACAAATCACTCGCATAATAGCGTCGCTTTAGAGAGTGCAACGAAATTTATCGTTCATCCTCACCACTATCTTTTGGGAGGATCCTCAGTGACTTTGGAGGATTCATAGGGACGTATTCGGACATCGGAGGTGGCTCTTTACACACCGGTATCGGTGAATCTAAAGTCAGTGGAATTGGAGGTCGTGGTGCTTGTCGAATCGGCTGGCACGCTGGAGTCAATGTTTTTATACGGGACCACTGAATTTTTGTGGAACTCACTGATGGTGGGGAGCTGTACCAGATTTGTTCGGGACGATTTTGATGGAAGAGCAAAATGATTTGATTGCATACTGTTGATGAAGTCTGAAGCTGGTGAGTCGGGAGGGCAAAGGCGAGTGTGTAACGATGGCAAGTTTCTGTAAAAAGTAAGACAGATATTTAAGGCTGTGCTAAGGGACACCTAAAATTTAGGGTAAAAAGCGTAGAATCAAATTCAGAGTCCTCCTCTTCTCAGCAGTCTCTTTGTGCAGTTGCACCACATTTGCAATCAGTGTAGTAGCACAACCAGATTCACTTTCATAATCGTAGGAACGGCGAACGGCTAATCGTAACATTAAAAAATTGCACACAGTAGAAAAATGATGAGAAACTCGAAAATCACCGTTGGATGCAGATCCAGAAAATAGTGCAATCACACAAAATGACTGCTGAACTGAGAATGGCTGTAAACTTGCAAAAAACATTATCTTGCCAAAACTACAAAAGAACTGAGGACGGCTGCAAAATTTGCGGAAAAATAACATTTTCTCAAAACTACTAAAAAGCTACTTACGTTTTGTCTTTCTCTGCTGGCTTGTGCTCGGAATATCCTGAGAATTTACGCCTGAATATACAAAAACTTTTAGTAAGGTGCAACACTACAAATTTTAATGTGAGTTCTTGTGGAAAGAATAAAAAGTGATCAATAATAAAGTAGGTGCTGGAGGTGCTGGGTAAAAAAGTAGGTTGTTAATGAAAGGTTGAATACGCGGTTGCATGTAAATATCAAAAAAAATGATTTGATTAGGAGAGATGAACATCTTGACATTTTATCACAATTAATCTTACTATTAACAACCATAATGGCTTCGAAAATGATCTTTTCCATACACTGTACTCGAAAAGATCTATAAAAATTTATTCAAATGAGATTGGAACTTTTCTTATTTCTATACAACTTGAAAAGCCTTGGTCAATTATGATTTCAGCAATTCGACCAATATATCACGAAGAGAATAAGTGAATAAAAAAATAAAACAAATAAAATAAAGCGAATAATTTGGAAACGTGAGCTTTGTGTTGTGAGGAAACAAGGGAGGGTATTGTTTGTTATTTTTTCGTGGAGATTATCTCACTCGGGAATACATACGATGTAATCGAATTTTAAATTATGAGTATAAACGTACTTGAGATAAATGAGTATTCCACAGATGATAAGTGCAGCTCCAAATGTGAATGTTGTATACAAGTATTCTCTTGCAATGATAAATCGACATGTCCTTGGTTCACATAAAGCGTTATTACAATATCTGAAAAAATGATCTTAGCTCGCAAGCAGGTGATTGTGGGAAAGACGAAGCAGTTTTTGCAATTCCATACTCATGAATGAATGTCTCAAGGAAGAACGCAGTTACGAGAGTACAAAAAGTGTAGTCTAATTACACCCACGCAGTGTAGAGCAGACAAATGTTGAGTTTACAAAATCTTGCATAGATCAAATGGAATAAAAATGACTTTTTTGAACTGTGAACAAAATTATTTTCATCTCTGAAATTGGAAGAAAGAACACTTTACTATAAAGTTTGAGTGCAGCTTGTCGTTGGCTACCCTTGCAGAACAAAACTTTTTAATGTGGCACTGCAAATTTTGATATTCTCCTGATCAAGTAGTTAGAATGGGAAAAGCCAGTTCACAGAGGAATCTACTATCACTGCATTTTTTTTTGTTGCAAAAACACAGCTCGGAACGTAAAAATATCACGATATCAAAGGTAAGGACTATTTCAGACAGTTGGTTCCACGTCGCGTAAAAATTTAGCGTAAGACCTGAGTCTATTACTTCCTACCAAAATTTAGGTCTGTAGATGAGTTTTGCGTTGAAAATTCGTAATTTCTTCCTAACTTTTTCGCCATTTTTGAGCTTATATCGTTGAGTCATTCGTAACTTAATATGCGTATTGCACACCATGTGTGCTAACTGACGAACTGCAAAATTAGAACCTGCACATTTGCAGTGATTTCTCCTGATTTTCTTGTCCCTTTTGTTTTCGTCGGATAAATGTTAGCCAGTAGTCAATATCTTTAAAGTTTGACAGGCTAGAAAATGTTTTACTGAAAAGTTAGTAGTAAGGGTGCCGTGGTTAATCGCGCATAGTGTGCATCCTCACAAATTATGTTACAACTGACTCGAGGATACCTTTTCTCTCGCTTCCGACTTAACGACTCGTTGTATCCCTGGAAAAGAGTCTAGTAACTGGGGTTACGCAGCTAATAAATGTGGGGTTTGTGAAACTCAAAGTAATGCGCACGAGTCTTCATATTAGGGGGGGGGGGGGGCGGATTTTTGTCCAAAGTAAATGAAGATATAATGTAAAATCGAGCCTTGCCGGTCCACAGTCGCAATCCTCATCGAGCTCGACAATTCCATTTCCACAAATAGGTAGAACAGTGCGAGGGAGACGACGTGGTTCTCCTAAGCACTCTATCGACGGCAATAAGTCTATCAATGCTTGAGCACTGCATTCTTGATCAAATCCTCTGTAAAATGGAGTCTGATCAAAGTCAAAATAATCGCTCGATGAGTTTTCCTATCAACTTTATTGAAGCTCCTTCTTTGTTTCCTTATAAGACTTGGTATGCATTTCTAGCAACAGCAAAGCGAATTTTGCCGCTTTCATGAAATATTTGTGTGAAAATGATTCACGAAATTGATACAGCTTCTGCATTCTTCGCAGTGACTCATCCAAAAGAAAGAAAACATATGGGAAATCAAAGCATGTAACAGCAAGATTCCGAAACGTACTTTAAAACATAACACTAAAGAAACACTATCATTATTTTTCCGACTGCATTTTTGAGTTTTCTCTCACAAAATGACATAGTTGTGAAATCCTCTTGCAGAAGTTGACTGTCACGTATAAATATCGCTGAAATTATAACTTACTCGATGCGAAGACAATTCCCACGATTTTTCTTTGAGCAATGGCAGTCTGCGGTAGATGAATGTGATAATCCCAGCAAATGCGAAAGCTCATGGAAGAACACGGAAGCGTACTCGTACGGAGCTTCGGGAAAGAACTGAAAGATGAAGCTAACTTTGCATTGACAGCGTCTAAGATTAAAGAAATTTTTCATTATTTTTTGACATGACTCGCACATTGAATTTGTACAAGGTTGCTTTCTCCCTAAAATGAATTTACATTGCTTGCTTTTTCGAGAATGACCCGAGAGAAATTATTATTTTTATTCCTGGAATGATATTTAATTATTCACAAAACATCGACTATGTGCCATCAGAAGTATGACAAAAGATTTGCTTTAGAGAGCTGAAGCGTTACATAGGTTTTCGTAAGTGAACAAAGGATTTGCTTAACTGCAAAATTATGGAAATGCAACTCTTAAATAAACACAAAAGAATCGCAGCGCATCACAGAGCTAGCTACATCTTGGCTCGTTGAATATGTTGCCTTCGCCAAAATTTCATCTAGTTTAGTTTTCAAAGACCTTTCTGTTGAGGCAGTTTATCTCCTACAGAAAACAGCAACGATATATTGAGAAGAAATTTGAAAAAAAATTGCGACAAAGGACAATAAAAATTGTCTTGTGTCGCGATTTTCCGTTCCTGTTGAAAGTAGGTATGAATTCATACCTATTTCGTATATTAGAATACGAAGTAGGTATGAGTTCATACAGCAGACACATTATTTGCAGACATCAGGTAGAAAGCTTGTTCCCAAACTTGTCGCCCCCTTACCGCGGCTATGCCTCTTACCTCCTTTTCTCCATATCAAACATCCGAACATTTTTACTTTAAGTTAGAGCACAAAACAATCTCTGTTTACTCTCTTCAACGCGAGCTATTTTTTCATTGAAGAAAGTCGCTAAAAAGCATTGATAAAAGCTTTGATCATACTGCGGACCAGCAATTTCCAGCAAGTACTTATTCTAGCACTTGTGATTACGGTAACATTCATCGAAAAGGTTACAGTTTTTCGTGAGGATGCCCTTCAACCGGCTTAATGAACTTCAAATAAATCCAATTCAGCAAGAATTCATTACAGTGTTTTCCATTTAAAGAAAAAGTAGCTTTCGCTCCTCTGGCGTGATACAGTAGCCATAGAAATCTGAGCTGAATGCTGCTAATCACAGTAAAAACAATGAGAAAAGCTCTATGGACCTCTGCCTTTCTCAGAGGATGGAGGTAAATGGAGGGAGGAAAGAGGGTGTGGAGAGAGTAGAAATGACGAACTGCGCTATGGTGTGGAAACTACTATCAAATACGAATCAAACGAAGTACACAGCACTTTGCACAGGCTAAATAAAGAAGATTTTAATTTTCTTACCCCAGCAATGCCTACAGCAGTCCGTTTACACACTCCGTTCACATAAGCTATACCTCCTTCATATCGGTGTCGAATGAGGATGGCGACATCGTGAGGGGCCTATAATTCATTTCTCCATAAAATGCTCAGCAAAAGAAGTGCGATTATCAACAAAATGTTTGGCAACGAGAAATAAGTGCATAATCTGTATTGCAATTCATAAAAACTGTACTCAGTTGCATACAATATCTTCTGTAGTGAGCCGCCAATCGAGGAACTGTTCGAGTGTGACATTATAACCACGTACTGGAAGAACATCTACTACAGCTAACCGGATGTCGAGTTGAAAAGCATACTAAATAGAAACACTAAAATCTCAAAAGTGCACTTTTCAAAAGTAACCCAATTTTCGAACCGCTTACTAAATTAACAGCATGCATTAATGTAAGCATAGCAGCTCGAATTCGTTCGCGTTGATGACCATAATGCCGAGCCTGAAATAGTACATATAAGAGAAAGTTCGGCAATAACAAAATGCTTGGATTTGTACAAAACTGGGCTCGAGTTTTATTATGACCTACCACACCAGCATCCACAGCCAAGAGTACTTCAACATAATGAGGTGATTTTCGTTTTGCATCACTCCAGTCTGGTAAAGTTCCTGAAGATGAAAGCAATCCTTTTTCGTCATTGCGAGGTAGAGGAAGTACCTAGGAAAGATTCTTACATCATATTGTGAATGTAATAATATTGGCTAAGAAGAATCTAGTAATATCAACTTTTTGTGGTATTTTAATTTATCTAAGAAAGATTTTCACATCATATTGTGAATGTAATATTGGCTAAGAAGAATCTAGTAATATCAACTTTTTGCGAGTATTTTAATTTATCTTGCATCTCTTCCCCTAACTTTCAAAGCTCGCAATTCGGACAATGTTACACTTACTGTTTCTGTCTGCTTTATGATATAGTTATTTTGTTTTATCATTTCATTTGTACATATTGGAATCACCTTATTTTGAAATTCATTTTAACATTAATTGTGGGATTCAGCCGTTAGTCACGCAATTTATCATTCCGACGACATGCAATCAAGGTAGCCCAATGTCGGATCCCAACAAATCTCATTACTTTTCCTTGTAAAATAGAGGAGGAAAGTATTTTTCACTGCATAAGTAGCAGAAGAATAAGGGTACACCTGATGGAACTTGCTCCAAGAAAATTGTCTGTATCTAACCATGTGCATGCCTTTATTTATAAGGCCGCCTTGAAAATTCGGTCGGTTCGATGCTTTCGAAAATCAGAATTCTTCACCCGCCTCAATTCTACTCAAAAATCCTTCACCATATTTTTATACAGAAATCAAACAGAGCCATCTTGGGCTGTACAAAATTTTCTTCAGATACATCCAATTTGCTGTTTCAACTTTTACGAACACTTGGAGATGTGTAACATGAAACACAGAACCCCAGTAAAAAATATAAAAAAATTCCAAGTTTTTTTTGAGTTAACTCTTACTCATTAGCAATTGTTATTCAGGAATAACAAGTTTTATGTGCCCAAATTTTGTGTCACGCCCCCTCACTACGTGAATCCAAAAACTGAGGTTGCAAATGAATAATTATCGAAAAATTGCGTAATGTAGGTGATCTAGAATGGCTAGATTGTAGCAATTCAACATAACATTCTACATTACAGTTAGCGCGTCTTCAAGAATCCAGAAAAAAAGTTTCAAATATTTACAAATAATGCTGACATTGTTGTTTTGCTCAAAATATAGACAAAATTGCAAAAATTGCATGGATTAGAGAATGAATTAGCTAGAAAGAGAAATTTTAGTTGAAATGAATGATATCTAATTCGCCCGTCGGCCATTGATTTGAATGTTATAGTGATAGATCAAAGAAAACTGACAAAAAATTCCGTGATAACCCAATATACAAGTAGATACACGATATGTTTTCAAGGTTACTTTCTGCATGTTTTGCGCCCCAAAAATATTTTGATAGACCGGAACACAGTGATTAATATGACCACGTGGGTGATCATTCACTGTGTCATCTTGGAGAAAAGGTCACACATTTAATCATGTATTGATGTTTCATTGCTGGTAGCAACTCTCATTGTCAAAGTCTGACGAATTTTCTGTCGTCGCTTGTTATTTGCTGGATTACAAGACGTTAATTTTCAGAGTTCAACCGTGTAATTCTTTTTGCACGGTGGATAATCGCTAATGTCAATGTTTGTGGAGTCGATATTGATTTTAGGAAGATGCGCTTAGTTTAAGCAAATGACATCATTAAACAAAGTTCTCTGTCGGTAAGAATTGAACTTTCCCGATTCTTTCAAGACATGAAAGTTGAAACTGGTCTCTTTCATAAAACTGGCTCAATATCTATCAAAACCCAGTTGACTCACTAAAATTTGCGCATAACAATGGGGTGTTTATTGCTGAAGATGTGATCAAGTCACGTTTTTGAGCCACAGGTCTGTTTTCACATGTTCGCGACAAATGAGAGCACGGAAATGAGGAGTACTGTTTGCTTGGTCGTGACCAGGATCAATTACGTGGGGCCTAAAGAATGAGCGTCAGAAAAGAATTGTAGAAGAAGTGGAAATTAGAAAAAAAAAACTAAGAAAGTAGAAGCTTATACACTAATTTGGAGAAACTAGGCAGCAGGGAAACTACACAGAACGTGAATACATTTTAGTCTTATAAATATCTGGAAATATTTGGAGTTGTAGAGATAAGATCGACGTGGCCAAAAAATCTAAACTTGAAAAAAAAAAAGACTAGCAAAGGCTTGCACTTACCTGATCGTGTACAACTATTTCGCTGCCAGTCGATTGCGCCCCATTTGCTATCACCGAAGATACAAAAACTGCGAGATGAAGTGAGGGCAAGCTCAGGGGCATAGACTACGATGTTATTTCCTAGAAATTCTAAAATCTACTAGGTAACGATAGACCGGTGGTGCAAAGAGATAAAATTATGTCGAAATCTATGGGGCGAGGATAATCGCAGCGTGAAAATTGGATGACGCGCAGGATCATATTACGAGGTCAGAAAGAGAAAAAAAGAACTCAAGTGCAAATTTTGTAGAAAACGCTGAAGCATTATTGTAAAACTATACTGTCCGAAAGAAGAAACCATAAAAAGGCTCTTGATAAATGATAAATTGGTGATGACTAATGGTTAGAACGCGTGGAGACGGATGACTAGTGCGCAGTGGAATCCTGTCTTGTGTCGAGCCTATAACAGTCACCGGCGTGCTGTGTGCGATGTGAGGAGCGAGTGTGAAGTTAGTGTTGAAGTAAAAGAAGACTTTCTATTGTTGCCACATCAGCACATTTGCTCAACAAACTGGTCTGGTCTTAATAGCCAACTTATTGCTAGCTTTAAGGGCAGAAAGAACGAAAAAAATTTCAAATTAGCCGAAATGAGGATTTAAAGTGTGTCTCAAACTTATGTGTACACTCCAAAAATCATACCGTAATCTTACAGTAACAAAAAGCGACCGATGAGGCACTGGTCGTTAATAATCTCGCCTATGTATATAGTTCGAGGACTTTTACATAGATTTACGGTGCAAAACGAATAATCATTCATTGTTACGAATAATCATTCTTTGTTATTTGAATAACAGTATGAATTTTGGAGAGCATTTCAAGCATTTAGGGTCAAACTGTGTCAGAAGAGGTTTCAAAAATCTAATGAATCCATCATTAATGAATCAAAAGCAAGAGTACAGTTCGATTCAAATGGATTGGCTCCTGGTAGGCAGGGCTTCGTGACCTAATTAAGGCTAGGAAACGATCAGAGAGCACTTTCGCGCGAGAGAGACGCATTGCGTTGCGAGCGTGAGCGGTCATCTTCCAGCCGCCAATCTCGTTGAAAAGAGTAGAAGCAACTTCAATTTTTAAGATAGGTTACTCGAATTTATTTACTTGAAGAGGTTTCCAATTTTTTGAGGATCTATCGGTAATGCTATTCAGGCTGCAGATATAATTTGAAGCACGCTTTCCAATTAATATTCAGAGGTACTTGAAATAGTTAAGGAGGAAGATTTATCAACATGAAACTGTGTATGCATATTTTTGGGCACCTTTCAGAGAGGGCTTAATAGCTCATGCTTGACTAGAACAAATGCGAAGAGGAACAGTTGCCCGTTTTACGAAATCCGTTGAGAACCCCCTTGAAAGTGTATGTAAGTCAAGTGAGAAAAGTGAGAACAAGAATTGACCGTGATCGCTAAGCACTGTGTTGTGATTAGCTCCGCGCGTGTAAGCCGGGGGCCCCACCGAAAGTTCCGAAGAGCTTGCTAGTCTAGTGTTATAACAAGAGAAAATTGATTGAGCGACATGAACATACTCTCCAAAGCACTTTTTTAGCTGAGAATGGAATCTTTGGTTGGCACGGAAGAAAATGTGTAAATACTTGAAGAGACAGCAGTGATAATCACTTGTTCACGTCGACGAGAATAGCGAAACGGTTGTATGTTTCAAAACATTGTCTTCTTAGTATATCATGATTTCGATTGCGGAGAAAGTGTTGGTTACTAACTTTGGCAAAGGAAAAGAACGACTGGATTGGTCCAAAAATTTGGGAAAAATGAGTTAGAATATGTTAAGTATGCCTTCTATAATACTTAGCAGTATGTGCGATCAAGATAGAGCATTAGATATTGTTCGCTGCTTAAGAGAAAAGCTAGATCATTATTGTTATAAAACGATAAAAAAGAAACTTTGTATCATGACTGTATTATACTTGACTTTTTGAAGAGCGTGAGCAAAGAATGAAAAACCACATCACCCACATTATGACTGCGTAGGTCTAAGTACCCTATACAAATTTAAAAAGCTCCTTATCGCCTCTTATCAATAAACAAATAGTGGAGACAGTGGAAAAGGAAAACAGACTAGAAATGAGTCAAACTGGCAGCAATTAACGGTTAGCGACCGCTGATTATCGTTAAAGATAATCGCAATGAAGTCTTTGCGGTCATGATGAGGCGCAAAACGGCGCTTAGCGGTGAGAGCCGCAGTTTTTCAGGGGTCCCATTGTTTGAAGGTCATCATATCTAGTAATGCGGACGCTCTCGGCTGAGGTTTACACAAGTGTGAAACGGTCAGGTAGAGTGGATCCCCTGGCTGGATTAGTCATAGCTCGGATCAACAATGATCTTGAGGATTACACTTCCCTTGGAACAATGGATCTCTTAGCTCCAATAGCTGCCGCTTCAGAACTCAAATAACAAACGTTTCAAAACACTTAACATGAGACTTTTGATGACCACGACTATTTCGGGTGGTGTATATGAATGCATGCATTTGAGAAGTTGATTCCGAAATTATGCTCATCATCATGGAACGATCTTGTAAATTAATTATTAGGTTGTCCCATAAGTCTTTTCGAATATGAGCCTTCAAATCGACACTGAGGGTTGGCTGGTCTTTTACCTATTTCTGTGTTGCCTGATTTTCTGTTCGATTTCGGTTTTTTAATGGTGCACCACGAATGTATACATAAAAATAAAAATAAAAAATATTTCTCAAGAACTATGTAGGGGACCTACAAGGCTGCAAATTTGTGGTAGTATTTCTAAGTGAATAAGCTATATAATCCCGTATTTGCGAGGAAAACAGAGCCGATACAGGCAAAATTTGTAAAATCAGCTCATAATTCTTTTCTTGATTCCTAGCCATCAGAAAGATGCGGCAAGTGCATGTATAAATATCTAGTGAGGAGAGCACATGCGTAAGCAAGTTTGAAATCTGAAGAGTTGTTTTGAACTGAAATATGATAGTTTTCGTTTTTCGGGAATTCGGAAATTTTTCTGTTTTGGCCTGAAACTCAATGCTGATCAAGCTTAGTGCGAACTTTCAAATGCCATTTTACAGAGCTTGCTTTAATGTGGAATGGTGTCCATTCTATTGCCCATTCTATTGTGAAATACAAGAAAAACTAACTTATGTTGGTGAAAATCAGACATGAAATGACTTATGGGGAGAAAACTTCCGCAACCTAATACATAGTTGCGGACGCTTTTTTCCGTTCCATGTAACGGCTATCAGTTACTTTAGCAATTTCAGTTCACATGAATGTCTTCAAAGACTTATCTTTTGGATCTTCTAACAATCGCTTCCTCACAAAGATAGGCACTTTTTGCCAAAGAAGTTTTAGAATCTTACCAGCGTGAATTCTTTCCTGTTCACCAAAGAGACAATATGCATGTACCAATATGAGACCTTTTTCCCGCGTTGAGCAGTAGGATTTTATAAGATTGTTTGATGTCGTGAAAGACTACGTGTATAATTATTGGGTACAAAGGTTCTGCCTTAGCATTTTTGAAAAAGTGTAGTTTTGCGCTGGGACAAGATCTGTTGAAGTTAGGCGTGAAAAAAGGGTATCACAAATCTTAATTCACTGCGCCAGGTCGTTGTAAGTGGAACGTTTCCGTAAAGTCCTTTTAATACGAGTTTCACAACGTAATCTCTTTCAGCGAGGAAACTTTCAGCTAAATTTTACGCTGTTGTTTAATGTAAACCCAAAAATCACACCTTTTCACAGAAATGGTTAGAAAGAATTGAGTTGGAAAAAAGTAATACCGTATTTGTGCAGACATCCATGAAAGCTTCTTTGTTGCTTATCATCTATGATTTTTCAAGGAGAAGCAGTTCAAAGCTTCTGCTAACATACCCACTACTCAGAATTTTCTACTAAATGTAAAGGACAGTTATGCCCCAATATGGCCAAATTTCAAAATCAGTTCCATGACTTCCTAAGCCGTTTTCATGCTGTGATGGACGTAGAGAAGATTAATTCGGTATTTGGATGGACACAAGTTCTCTCTAGTTTAAGAGTAACGGTAAGATTATCGGTCTGCCTTCTTGAGATACTTTGATTGAGAAACGAAATTTTATCATATTTGCCACAGTGAGAATATGGGGAATCTTGATTCTTCTTGCTTTTTCTTTATAGGGAGACAAATTCTACTCAAATACAATTTACACACTTCCCATTGAAGTGCTTTTGCTAAAGAGAGTGGTCGAAGATTTGTTTGCAGCAGTTGTGGGACCCGCAAAATAGACCGAAATTGTTTATTAGCGAACCTATTAAGTAATGAATATCACTGACTGTTTCACAAATTGGTACACTTTCGATTAATGACGACTTGCAAGAAAAATCGAAATTTGAGTAATCGTCTTCCTCCTTTTTATTATAATAAATTTATTTTTTTTACAAACATAATTCCAGGAAATTTCAAGCAGGAAGAAATTGTGATTTTCTATGAATGGCGTGACGGACTAGGCAACTTCAACGAAAACGTGGACTTCGTAACAGCAACTTTGTGAGAACGAAATTATTTTCGTTTGCTAGAGTTCATTCAAAAGAAGCCATATCTATGGTACAAGATCGAACAGTGGGTTTGAGTGATGGATATTTCAGAAATGGATATGGTAGGCAAAAAGGCGTGTATGCATCGCTAAATTCTCGCATCATTCATTCATCACTTCGGGCAGATGATCTATCAATCCGCAAGGACGAACTTTGCAAACGCCCAATCATTTAGTTTCGTCCCACTTAGTGTGACTTCTTCAGTGCACGCCCTCCAGTATCAAGAAAAAAAGTAGAGCAGGAGATATTCAAAACATTGAGGTCGTCTTTTTCTTAGTTACGGAGAAATGCTCAAATGCTAAGGTACTACCCCAAGATTGAAAATGGTAGAAAAAGTCGAAGTTAAGATATCGTGTTAATTTTACCTTTAAGCTCACACATTCCTTGTGGTTTGTTTTTGAAAAAAGGGCTGTTCTTCACTGTTGTGAGTGTCCGCGTCAAATTGTTTTGCTCCACCTTTCTGGTCAATAAGTTTGCACCAGAGATTCAAGAATGTTCATGAGAACCCTCAAAAAACCGTCCCAACCTCTTGTATTG